TGGATATATATATGTCTTCCTTTCTAATCTGAATGACTTTTATTTAATTTTCTGGCTCAATTTTTATTTTACTAGAATAATTAGCACCATATTGAATAGAAGTCATGAGAGCAGACATCCTTGCTTCTAATTGTTCCTAATCTTTTGGGGGAAAGCACTTAGTCTTTTAACAAAGTATGATATCAATTCTGTGCTTTTCATAGATACCCTTTATCAGGGGAGAATTTCCCTTCTATTCCTAGATAATTGAGTGTTCTAGCATAAAAGGATGTTGAATTTTGTTCAATGATATTTCTGCATCTATTGGAAAGATAGTTTTTATTTTGGTTCTACAGATATGGTGAATTATATTAGTGGATTTTGGGGTGTAGATCACTTTGCATTCCTGGGTATTTGGTCATGGTTCATAATTCTTTTTTAGATGTTACTGAATTTGCTAGGATTTTCTTGAGGAACATTGCATCTATGTTTATAAGAGATACCGGTCTGTAGTTTTCTTTCTTAAGATGTCTTTTTCTGGTTTTAGCATCAGGTTATTCTATTCTAACTTTTGGAAGAGTTTGTGAAGAATTGGTATGATTGTTAGAATTCATCTGTGGGTGAATTGTGCCCAGATATGTGTCCAGGTAATTTTGATGTCTATGTTTGGTAAAATGCATCAGTGAAGATATTTGGCCTGGGCTTATCTCTGTGAGTAGTTCTTTGCATGGCTAATTCAATCTGTTGTAGATCTACTCAGATTTTCTATTTTTTTTTTTTAATAATGTATTTATTCTTTTTTTTTTAAAGCTTTATTTATTTATTTATACAAGCACTGGGTACAGTCAGAAGCGCGGGAGGGTGAGAGAATTCACCAGAGCCAGAGCGGGGAACAGAGCAGGCAGAAGGACCGAAGTACACTGCTGAGGGGAGCAGCGGGCAGCAGGAGAGGTCTGCACGCCATGTGGGACCCTTCTCCGGTGGCCGGGGAGCAGCCGGGGATCGAACCGGCGCTACAGGGGCTGCAGGCAGCTTCGCAACCCAGCGCTCAACTGCTGCGCCACCGGGGAGGCCCTCTATTTTTTTTTTAAAGATTTATTTATTTATGCATACTGAGCTGGGGTACAGGGCAGAGGTATGGGTGGTGAGGATTCACCAGAGACAGAGTGGGGATAGGAACAAGCAGTACAGAACAGGTACATTACAGGCAGACTGACTGAAATACACTGCTGAGTGGAGCAGCTGGTGAGGCAGGAGAGGCCTGGTCCCCCATGTGGATTGCTCCCTGGCTGGGGAGGGTGGGGGAGGATCAAACTTGTGCTGCAGTGGCTGGGGATAGCTTGATAAAGTGCTGTCTTTAACCCCTGTGCCACCAGGGAGGCCCTTCTTTAGTTTTTTAACAAACATATTTATAGCTGCAACTTTAATGTCTTTGTTAAATCTAATATCTGGTTCCTTAACAGGCAGTTTCTATTTCCTGGGGTTTTGGGTTTTTTTCCCTTTCCTCCTGTGTGTGGGTTATTCTTTCTTAGTTCTTCGTATGTATTGTAGTTTTTTATTGGAAACTGAGCATTTTAGATAATATATTTTAGCAAATCTAGCTACTGGTCACTCCCAAACTTGTAACCGTTGTTTGGTGTACTTGTTTAGTGCTTGGATTATTTTAGTCCCTCCACCTCCCACAGTGTGAAGTTGCTGATGTTGCATCTTAAAGGATACAACACCTTTATCACCTTGTGATGACACTGCTTTTGTAAGTCCCCCTTTGATAGTCTATTCTGCTAACAACACCCATTTTTAAGCTCACACATTTCTGGTATGATTTTTATTGTTTTCAACAATGTTGCAGGGCATGCATTGCTCAAGGGTGGGAACCAATAAAATTCAGGCCCCTCGGCAGAGATTAGACTTAAGGTCAGTGTTGACTTGTTCTGGCACATGGAACCCCCTCCACAGTGCTTTCCCCATTTCTCTCTAGCAAACTAACTAACCTGCAGCTTAGCTGATAGAGCCAACAAAACTATCAATCTCTTTTTTAGTTTTATTTTTTGTAATTTTTAAAATGTTCTAATTTTTACATCATTGAAAACTATCAATCTCTTTCCAAATATCTTTCACCACCACATCTACTGTTTTGAGAGCACTTTCAGGTTTGAGCCTTTTCACACTCTTTTGCCAATCACATCAGTTCCTGGAAGGAGGGATTTGGAGCTCCCTGTTGATGGCCTCCTTCCTAGAGAAAATCTCTGCGCACACTCTGGTGCTGGAGATGGGGATGATGACAGGCGGACCTTTGAGGGATGCGCCACCTCTAGGAGCTGACTGCTCAGTGCCAGTCAGATAGTCAACGAGGGACTTGCAGTCGGCCCCTCAGGTCTTCTTGTCTTGACTCTTCTGGTGGTAGTTCCCCACCCATGAGTTGAGATTAGAGGAAATTGTGCATGCAGAATTTTCAGTCATGTCTTGCTCATTGTAGAACAGTAGTTCCTCTAGTGGGGACTGAGCAGAAGACAGCCCTTCTTAACTCAATGCACCCTGGACTTCACCTCACCAGCAGATAGGCTGGGGGGACATCGATGTGGGGTAACTGTGTTTCTGATTATAATTTCCTCCTACATGTTGACTCTGAAATTTCTTTTACAAATGTGGAGACTGAGGGATAGAGATATCAACTATATCTAAAGCCCCATAGACTTGGATGCCCAGGCAGCCTGGGCTATGTACCTCCCCACACAATGCTGCCCTTCTCCAAGGGATGGAGGCGCCGGTTCCCTTGTAACTTGGGGTAAATGTCCATCACAGTAAATTACCTGGGAACATGTCATTGAGGATCAGTAACACTGAAGTTCTTTGCGCACAAGGGAAAATGGGCAGGAGCAGTAAAACAAGAAACTGACTGTGCTGACCATTTGCTCCATCCTGTGATGGTGTGAACGTGACTCTGCAATGTTCCCAGCATAAATCTGAGGAATGATGCAATAGCGGGTAGGTATCACTGGGCTTTTCTTGTAAGATGAACAAACACTTGAAATTCTACCCCTCCCTTCTCTTTTCATAACAGGTGGCCTTATTTTTCATGTGAACTCAGGTTTTGCACATTCTGATCAGAAGTTACCAGCCGGCAATGGTTAGGGCTAGCACATTATATAAACTTCTCTTCTTTTTTTGGTTAAGGATCTTGGGACATTTATTTCCCAGATGTAGATCCTTGGAGTTTACTTAACAGACTTCCAGCATGCTGCCTGGGTTGGCAGGAGATGGGCCTTGTCCTTGGGCAATGTTCTCAACTTTTGGCCTTTGAACCCCACACTGGACTCCTCTAGGGCAGGGAATGGGAAAATCCTCCCTTAGGATGAGTTGTGGATCAGCAAGATTCATCAGCACCAAATAACAGACACTGACTCAGGAGCTGATTAAGAAAAGGGGAGTGAGGGCCAGCCATGGATGCCAAAGGTAGCAGGAATGGCCTAGAACTGAGCTTGAACAGACAGGACCGCTTAGAGGGTCTTGGCAGCGGTGACAGCTCCAGAGTTTGGACCAGATGCCGTCATTGGGTGAAAATTTCCACCATCTCCCTGTCCTTGTGCTTCTTGCTCCAAAGCCAGTTACCCAGGAAAGCGAGTCCAACTGGTTAAGCTTGAATCAGTGCAGGAGACCAGCCTTTGGTTGTTCTAAGTTAGTGGGAGAGAAGTCAGGCAGCAGGAGGCTTGGTGGATCCTTTTGACTTATCAAGTGGGAGGATGGATTCCTGGATGGATCACTAGTACACAGTAGTACACAGTACTACTAGTACACAGTAGATGACAGACAATTCCCCAAAGAAAATTAGAGTGATGTTAAGAAGGAGGAAGAGAGGTGATGTGGCAGTGTTAAACGTCCAGCTCAGTTTGCAATGCCAGAAGCTGCTGTTCTTGTGGTGTTTCCAAAGGGATGACATCTCAGGTGGGAGTCAGGACTGCAGACTGCAGGTTCAATGGCTTGTTCACCCCTAGGATGTGCTTTTCCATACACCCAGGCTGAGAACCTTGAAGTTACTTAACAGACTTCCAGAATGCCTCCTGGGTCAGCGGAGATGGGCCTTGTCCTCAGCAATGCTCTCAACCTGGTGGTCTATGGCACAGTGTAAGCCCATGGGGGCTGCATGGATTACTAGTCAGAGCTAAAGTCCCAGAATTTGTGGGTGATTATTTAAAAAAAAAATCTTTACAAGTTTAATGCTAAAATAATGTCACTCTATGAAATGCTGTGTTAAATGGGAAAGACAGTTGAGGTGTGCTGCTAAGAACGTTGGAGGTATTGTCAGAGCGTGTTTGATTTGTGAATGTCAGTTAGGATAAATACTGCTTCCATTTTACACATGGACCCCAGGCCAGTGGGACCCCAGGTGACAGGCTAGAGGGGAGTGTGGGCTGGTCAAAGCTGCTTTGAAGATAGACTCAAAGGAGCCCAATGTAACCCCAATTTTTTGAGTATGAAGAGATATTTTACAATCAAAGTTTTTATGTAGAGCTACATGGTAAATTTGATACCTTTCATTATGTTAATTGAGAAAATTCTGGAACAAAGTAATTAATATTTTTACAATAACTATTAAACATTTTAATATTTCATATTAAATATATAAATATCTTAATATTATTTTAAATATTTTATATTTCTATTATATTCACAATATTTTATATTTATATATTATTTAATATTTATATTTTAGGTATATTTTAAATATTCAATATTTTAACAAAATAATACAATTTTAAAAAACATTAAACAATATATTCATATTTTGTTACTATTATATCTTATAAGGTAAATAATATTAATAATTTATCTGGTTATCATGTTCGATGACACCTTTACATGAATTTATAATTTTTTCAAAACAGCAGGTACATGTCTTTGGAAAATGTTTTATATGTATGTTAATACTTTACTGGTGTAGGGCCGGAATTTCCAGCTCCCCCTGCAGGGGCTTATGCAGGGGCTTATGCAGAAGCTGACCAAGCACAGCCAGCAGCACAGGGATGGTGCTTCTGGAAAGCGAGCAGTTCCTGTGGGAGCTGACCAGGCTTTTCCAGAAGTGCCGGGTGTCGGGCAGCGTCTTCATCACCCTGAAGAAGTATGATGGTCGAACTAAACCTATTCCAAGGAAGGGCTCGGTGGAGGGGTTTGAGCCCTCTGACAACAAGTGTCTGTTAGCTACTGATGGGAAAAAGAAGATCAGCACTGTGGTGAGCTCCAAAGAAGTGAGTAAGTTTCAGATGGCTTGTTCAAACCTATTGAGAGTTAACATGGACGGTCTGAAGAAGAGGGACAAAAAGAGCAAGAGTAAGAAGAGCAAAGCAGCACAGTGATGGACACCCGATTTCCAGCTTTCACCAATTAACCACTGAATTGCTGTTTTTCCTTTTGGCCACAAGGCTAGATATTTGGTTCCCCTAAAATAACTGTCCTTATGTGAGATAAGAGTTATTCTGGATGAGAGAAGGGCTTCTGTGTTTACAGGGTAGTTGTAAGACGCCAGTTTGTTTTAGATGGCTAACTGATCTCTGTTGCATGGCTGTAAATTCCTGGATGATAGTTTAAAGTCTCTGTAGCCATCTGTGCGAAGAGCAATGTATCATCATTAAACCTGTTTGTCAACACCGGGAAAAAAAAAAAAAAAAAACTTTACTGGTCTAGTTCCTGCTGTCTGCTTGGGATAGAAACCCTTGAAGTGAGCTAACTGCCTTCATGGACTTTATCCTCCAGCACCACAGACTAACTCTGATAGGATCAGGGAAGCCTCCATCCTATGATGGCCTGGGGCACAGCAATTACTGGGCCCATCAGAGGCCTCCCTCAGGGATTGGAGCTGACAGACTGGAGGGTGAAGGCTGCTGAGAGTTAGTCTCAGGGCTGCCATATGAGTTGTCAGCAAGTTGGAGTTATGAGGGACAAGAAACTATAATGGAGCAGTTAATGAAAATAATATTAATAACATTTATGGTAATAAAAACTAACTTTTGTTTTTCATTCTCTAAATGCCAGGCTCAGTTCTAACTACTCTGTGATATTGTCTCATTTAGCCTTCATGGAGACTGGAAAGCCCCGGCAAGTTTCCAGATAAGGAAATTGAGACACAGAGAGACAGTAAATAACTTGGTCCAGACCCACAGCTAGGAAAGGGCAGATCTGGATTAGGTCTACACTGGGCTAGCCCTTGCTGTCTCCTGCCACTCAAGGGAGCAGAATTTGCTGCGTTAGGATGGTGACAAGTAACGCGACTCCCTCCTGCCCCTTGATTTCCTGAGTCTGAATATCTGACTCTGTGGCAGGACTAGCACAGGATTCTACCCTTGGAACTATCATCCTCTCCACACTTCTCGAGCCAGTAGAGTAGCTCTGCTTCTTGCCCTGTGAAATGGGGGCAATGAGAAATGTAGCAGACCACGCAAGGCCTAATCTTGAGTTAGCTTAGGAGGACAAGTTAGGGCTGGGGGAAAATTCCACAATACAGGCCAGGTTCCCGTCAAAAATGAGATGTATGTACCTTTTGTACCTAAAACACGGGATGTGGTGAAAGGCTCTGCTGCTTGTAACAGCACAGTTTGGCTTCTGTACTCCTTCTTGCTGTGGCAACTGCAAACTCCAAGGTGCGATTTTTTGGCTTTAAAAACCCTTATCACCCCACCCCGCTCGGAACTGCTCCCACAGAGGGACAATCACCCTCTGGCTAATAAAGGCTTTTTCCAAATTTGATTTAGACACGGGGCTGTGTCTAGGGGAAGACACTACAACATTTTTGGAGGCCCCAGCGAGATTGCTTCCTAGCACGCCGAGGCAGCTTTCCCCCAGAGCGGCTTTAGACACCCCTCTGAGGGAACATGAGACCAGAACTGTGCCTTTTGCCTTTTGTTCTGCAGATTTGAGTGTCTTGAGTCTTGGTGTCCTCCGGAGGTGAGTTTGTGTTTGAGCGCTCTCTGGTATTGGGGACTCAAGGGAAGGCTGCATGCAACATTACTTCCAGAGTCCAGGGACAGTAATGAGACGTCATTGCCTCCTGTGGTAGAAGACCCCCTGTGCCTTCTTTGGTTCAACTGATCCGTCGGCTGACCAGTTGGTTTTTGTGTGGCCACTTGTCTCTGTTTTTTGTCTCTTGTTTGTCCATTTTTGCCGTCTATTTCCCTTTCCATTTCAGATCGGGAACCATGGAACTTCCAGAAAGGGAGAGATGGTTATAACCTTCAGTGTGCATGTATGTGTGAGAGAGAGTGGTTTGTGTTCCACAGACCATGGAAGAACAGACCTCCATGAAAGGTGAGGCAGCTTGCATCCATTGGCAGGACTGGAAAAACCCTGGAAACCTGGAGAAGAGGAAATCTAGGTAAAGTCCGGTAAGACTGTGACTTTGATGAAGCCTCATGGATTGGGTATTAGAAAGCTCACTCCAAGCCCTGTGGCATTTTCAACAAAGCCAACAACATTCTGTTTGGTTATTCTGCCCTGAGAGTTTATGCAAATATAGGGGAAATTATTTAAAATTAGATTTGGTTGACTATTTATTTTACAAAACTGGGATGAGGGTAGAGAAATTATGTCTCAGTAACTGTATTAGTCTCTGCTCCCTTCAGATAGGCCTTATCCTAAATGTTATCATCTTGAGAAAGAAAAAAGTAATCTTATTACATTTGGGACTAAAATATGTTGCATACCTAATTACAGCCACACTGCCACCAAAGCCTTAACATCATGTCGGAAACTGTGGCACCAGCAAGTTTAGGCCTTCCATGAACTCTTGTTCAAGACCCAGGGATAGGATGTCTGTGAGTAAACGCTGAATGAGATGCTTTAGCAAAGGCCCTGGGACATGTTTGTCGGGTAACTGCACACTCTGAGACCTCAGAGAGGCGTGTTTCTGTTCATTTCAAGATGGAGCCCTCATGCTTTGGGATCCTCAGGGTTCCGGGGGATACAACCCAGCTTTGTAGCCCTGCCAGAGATGGCCACACCCTGCAGGTCTTGGGAGCAGTGCAGAGGGATTAGCGCCTACCACCAAGCATCTGACTATTAGGTAAATGAGTTGAAGTCATTGTTGGAGAGTAATTTCTAAAGGTATGAAGTCCAGTCATGGCTCACATGGGCAGAATATGGATACATGTCACCCCCCCAAATTCATGCACAGATTGGTATGCCCAGGGAAGCGTGGGTCAATAATGAAAAATCTAATATTGATAAAGCCTGGTAGGAAGTGTACCAACTTGTTGGTCATGTTGATTTTTCATTTAATTTATGTGTGACAATTACTCAGTTTTTGTACTTAAAAAAATGAGCCTGAAAACAATGAAAGAAAAGAAAGGAACACTTCTCCCCCTCCTCAAATATACTAGCAAATAAACCAACTATATAGTTTGTTAGTATAGACTTTGTCCTGTCTGGGTTGTGTGGTGAGGCAGGCTGGTGTGAATCATCAGTACTAAGAGAAAAAAAGAAGTAGGAGTCTCCAATCATGGAGTGTCCAGCTGGGAAATAAAATTCCAGAAAGGTGGGATCAGTGTTTCCAATCCTGTGACATGAGGTAGGAGGGCAGTGTGTGTGACAAGGGTCAGGTACTGGGACACCCAATGACAGCAGACAACATGCAGTGAGGCCACAAAGGAAGCCTGAGTCATTTAGGTCGTTCTGGGATTCAGGTGATGGGTGTGGCAAGGGAGAGAGAGGGCTCAGAGTGGGTTTTAAGTACAACATTTGGAAGGCCTGTGGATTCGCATCAGCCATAGAAGTCAGAGATGGAAGTTGCTAATGACTTTGGAGCATCTTAAAAGGAGGGGACCCCTATCAAGGGTGGTGTTGGGGTGGAAGAGTTATAAGAAGTAATGTGAAGGAGAGCAAATGATGGTTTAATGCCGCGGACCAACACAGCAGTGAACAATGAGGCCATTTTGGGGTTGAGAGACTGCGCAGGGTGGTCAGGGATTCGGCTAAAGAAATGACAAACAGACACACTTCAAGAGAGAGTGTAAATCTGAGTGTAATTTTCTTTGAGTTTGTGACCAGTATATATGTTTTCCAAGAGCACAGGAACAATGAATATCAATGAAATCAGCTTGCTCATGGGCTCAGCCTATCACCGACAGGGCAGTGATTTACATCTGGACCCAGCCTCATTCCTAAGTAGATAGACCATTAGTTTTGTTTTTAAACTATATAATAGCATTTTTTACTAACTACTTTTTTACCTAAACTATATTTTATTATTACAGGGTTTAGTAATGTTTCATTTGAGTCAGACTTGTTTTAAGGATTTCATATGATTTTTTAATTAACAAGCAATGACCTTTATAGAAGAAAGAAGGAAGTTTATTTATTTATTTATTTTTTACTGTTTCATTGTTTATTTTTTTTTTAAATAATAAATTTTATTTTTATATTCCCCATACAATTGCAGCCCCCCCATTCTGACCCCAATCCCTCCCCTCCCGCCCCCGCCCCCCTAAAAGTGTCTCTGGTTCATAGTTTTTTGTTGATTTTGATTTTCACTTTCTTATAGTTATTCATTTTCCTGGTCCCTTATTTAAGTTTTCTAGATTCCTGCTATGAGTGAGACCATCCGGTATTTTTCTTTTTCTTTTTGGCTTATTTCGCTGAGCATGATCCCTTCCATCGCCATCCATGTTGCTGCAAATTGCATGTGTTTATCTTTTTTGAATGCTGAGTAATATTCCATGGTATATATGTACCACATCTTGATCCAGTCATCTATTTTTGGGCATTTGGGTTGTTTCCAAAGCTTAGCTATTGTAAACAGTGCTGCTATAAACATAGGGGTGCAGGTGCTCTTTGGAATTGATGTTTCTGTGTCCTTTCGGTAAATACCTAGGAGTGGAATTGCTGGATCATATGGAAGCTCTATGTTTAGTAGGTCCAGAAATCTCCACACAGCTCTCCACAGTGGTTGGACCAGTTTGCACTCCCACCAACAGTGCAGAAGAGTTCCTTTTTCTCCACACCCTCGCCAACATTTGTTGTTGCTAGTTTTTTTAATATGTGCCATTCTCACTGGTGTAAGATGGTATCTCATGGTAGTTTTGATTTGCATTTCCCTGATGACAAGTGATGTTGAACATTTTTTCATATGCCTGTTGGCCATTTGCATTTCCTCTTCAGAGAAGTTTCTTTTTAGCTCTTCTGCCTTTTTCGACTGGATTATTTTCTTTGTTTTTGTTGAGTCTCATCAGCTCTTTGTAGATTTTTGTGATCAGTCCCTTATCATTAGTGTTGGGTGCAAAAATGTTCTCCCAGTTGGTGGGGTTTCTCTTTGTTTTTGTTATTGTCTCTTTTGCTGTGCAGAAGCTCTTTAATTTGATGTAGTCCCAGCTGTTTATCTTTGCCTTCACTATCACTGCTTTGGGTGATGTGTCTGTAAAGATGTCTTTGATGTGCAAATCACGTGGTGTTTCGCCTATATTTCCTTCTATATATTTTATGGTTTCAGGTCTTATGTCTAGTTCTTTAATCCATTTTGAGTTGATTTTTGTGTATGGTGTGAGGTAGTGGTCAAGCTTCATTCTTTTGCATGTAGCGACCCAGTTTTCCCAGCACCATTTATTGAACAAACTTTCTTTGCTCCAATGCATAGTCTTTGCTTCTTTGTCAAAGATTAGTTGACCATAAATCTGTGGGTTTATTTCTGGATTTTCTATTCTATTCCATTGGTCTGTATGTCTGTTCTTGTTCCAATACCATGCAGTTTTGATGATTATGGCTTTGTAGTATAGTTTGAAGTCTGGGAGTGTGAGAAAGAAGGAAGTTTAGAAAGACAATAAGGGATTAAAGTTTGTAGTTCTAGAAAGACAGGATAAGGTTTTTTTTAGCATTCTTGTAGTGGTTCCTGGTGGTCGTTATCTTTTGATAAGCTTTTGTCTTTTCAGGGAACTTTGCTGTACTTCCCCTGCTTCAGGGTGTTTTGCTGTTCTCCCCCTGCGCGCTGGTTCCTTGCCCAGCCGGACCTAGGGACCGTGGCGAAAGCCATTCCTAAAGGTCACTGCAGGGGGAGGTGCAGCAGTTTAAAATGTGGTATCAAATCATTAATTTCTTGCAACAGAAGCCTGGGTAAAGGTGTGCTCCTCTTGCAGCCTGAGAACTTGCATAAAAGGTCATGGGCAGCTCAAATGAGGTCTGATAAACTCCTTGAGAAACTACTGATCTCTTTTTTGTCATACTCTGAACTATGCTCAAATGGTGGTGGCTGTGTAGTCAGGAGTGTGTCTCATAAGTAACAAGGAGAGGGTTAAGAGCCAGTCCTCCCATTTCATCTGTCAATACACAGTGCAAGGCATGCCAGTCATTTCTCAATAGCTAATCAAGCTTCTGGCTTGCCAGACTGCCCAGGCACCAGAACTGGCCCTTTGAGTGAGCTAATGCACGAATAGTCTAGCATTATTTTTGAAGGCATACAAGGAAATGCATCCAAAATGGTGAGAAGAAACTACACTATTGAGGGTCTTTCTAGTCATCCATCCATCCATCCATCCACCCATCCATCCATCCATCTGTCCATCCATCCACCCACCAAATCCATGCATCCATCCTCCCCATCCATGCTCCTGTGCATCCATTCATCTATCCATCCTTCCAAAAGAATGCAGAAGCCTATGCTTATTTTTTGACTGCTGTGATGGTTTCTCAGGTTTCACAGGTGTCTACATGGATGAAAACTGATAAAGTTATACACTTTAATATATGCAGGTGAGTATATTTTAATTATATTGCAAGAAAATTAGAAAAAAAAAAGAAAGATAATTCCTATGTATCAGTAGGTCAAAATTGCTAACAACTCCAACATGCATCGACAGGAGAATGGGTAAATCGTGGAACATTCACACAATGAAATAGTTCTCAGCTCCAGAAAGGAACGAACGCCTCATAGCCACGACTAGGTGGGTGAAACTCACACTCGTTGAGGTTGGTTCAAAGAAGTCAGACACTAGAGAATACATTCTATATGTTCCTATTTATATACTTATCAAAACGAGAAAAAATGGAACCCTGGAGTTTAAGAGTATGTGCTCAGATGGAAAAACTATAAAGTAAAACAAGACTGTGATTATCATTAAGGGTGAGGTAGAGAGGGGAAGGGTCGGACTTCAGGGGCCCTGGCAGGCTCTTGACCTGGGAGGCAGTTACATGGGTGTTTGCTTCATAATAAACGATTGAGATGGTAAAGCAGAAAATGGACCCTCCAGCTGCCGAAGCTTTAGTGGAGGCTCAAGCTGAAAAGAAAAAAGAACAGGTGGATGGTCTGTGTCTGTATGTGATGGTGAATATGTGTGTGTGTCGGCGGGGGGAGGTAGGAAGAGGAGGCAGGGGCACTTCAAAGAGATTCAGAGCATGAGAAAGACTTGCAGAAGGACTGTGAGCCAGGGAAATCCTGAGCTGCTCCAAGCTTAGAATGACCCCAAATACCAGCCAGCAAGGCAAAGGAAACCCCAGTCCTACAACCACACGGAATTGAATTCTCCCAACACTCTGAATAAGCCTCGAAGTGGATTCTTCCTAGACAAGAGCCAGTGACTTGATCTCACCCTTCTGGGAGCCAGAGGAAGCAGGTGAGCCCACCCAGACTTCTGACTGAATTGTCAGGCAACAAATGGGTGTTTGGCGATGCTGTGTTTGTGGTAATGTAACAGGGTGGTCTCCAGGAAAGGGGGAGGTTCCCTGCCCCACCCAAGGGAGGGTGGAGCTGAGCAGGAAGAGGAGAAGCTGCAGAAGAGACTGAGGAAGGAAGCAGGATGGAGCCAGGAGACCTGGAGGAGACGCGTGGAGCCTAGAGACATGTGAAGAAACTGCGCTTGTCTTTTGGTCGTGGACTGGGTGACACAGATGTGGGTGAGACCCATGGGGAGGTAACAATGGCAGCTTTTATCTTGATGTTGATTTTGCTCTTTTCCTTCCGGGCTTGTCTGGTTGTTTCTGACTCTTTTCTGTGGGTCCCCACTGGAAGATGCTTTAGACTTGTGGCAGGCTTTGGGGCCTTGCTCTGGGCCATTCCCATATGGATGGACTTTTACCCACGAGGGGATGGGTAACTTTGGGTGCTTCATTTAGAAACTAGACTCTTTGCCTTTCCTGTATTGTTTCCTAGTTTTATTAAAGTTCCTTCCCATTAAAGTCTCATATGTTTTGTGTTGATGCGGCAGATGGCAGAACCCATTCAGAATAGGCAGGTTTGCGGGGTTTGGGCTGCCCCTCTCCCTGTCCTATAACAGTAATTGTTAAGGCAGCAGGAGAAAATTAACAGTCATAGACTGATGTGGGTGATAGAAGTGACTTCTAACTCTCTTCATTAAAGGGGATCCTTGAAGACAGTGCTGGGGGTGGGGGCAGGGGCTTCTGGGAGCAAACCAGAGAAAATTTAATAGAGCACACTGAGGGGCTGCATTATCGACCCACTTGGACCTGGGGAGTGGAGGGAAGGGAGGAAATTTGACCACTTGAGGGTGTAAATCACCTCTAAACCCTGTTCTACTCTTCAAAGGGCCACATCCTTGTTGAAAACAAGGTTTGATGTTCAAACCATCTTCAAAAGTAAAAAGTAAAAGGACATGGGACTCCCTGGTGGCACAAGGGGTTAAGACACAACCTATGAAGCTGTCCACAGCCTCTGCAGCATGAGTTCAATCCCCCCACCCCCACCCCCCAGTTGGCCAGGGAGCAACCTACCTGGCCCAGCATACCTCTCCTGACTCTGCCTGCTGCTCCCGTCTGCAGTGTATTTCAGTCAATCCACCTGTTCTGTCCCCCACTCTGTCTCTGGTGAATCCTCTCACCCCACACACCTCTCGCCTGTGCCCCAGTTCTTGTATGCATAAATAAAAATGAATCGTTAAGGCAAAAGTAAAAAAACAATTATTTGAAGTAGCTTGAATAGTAGCCAAGTGGAAAACAAAAAACAAAAAAACATGATGAGCTCAGGGGAGAGATTTGTTCCTTTTGTTTTGAGCTCACAGTTTAACTAGAGTGGAATGAATGGGAAACCCTGAAGGATAGACCCACTCAGATAGCAAGGAATCCTAACAGCTGAGGTCAGAACTTCTGACCAGAGGTTGTAAAAGCCATAAATAAAATCATCTTTCCAGCAAATGACAGGCAGTGACTTTGGATGTCTATGTAGAAAGACTCTGATAAGAATAAATGTTCTGTGTCCTCTGATGTTGCTAGATAGCTGGATCTCCAAAACCATAGGATTTTTATTATCTTAACAACCTTGCATTTTAGGTATCAGTCATTTAAAAATTGAGATATGATGGACATCAATTTACAGTAATTTCAGGTATACACTGTAATAATTTGATGCTTATTTATACTGAGAACTGATCACCACAGTAAGTCCAGTTAACATTCATCATCACACAGTTACAAATTGCTTTCTTCTGATGAGAAATTTTAAGATCTGCACCCTTACCAACTTTCAAATATGCAAAACCGAATTATTAAGTACAAACACCATGCTCTGTGTTACATCCCTAGAACTTACTTATATCTTATGACTGAAAGTTGGTGCCTTTTGACACCTCTTCACCCATTTCTCCCACCCCGTCCTTCTGGCAACCACCAAACTGTCGATACATTTTTTTAATAACAAAAAATATTATAGTAAAACATAAGACTTACCGAGGCTTCTAGACAGGCCATCCATAATGATCAGAAGAGTTTTCTTGAAAGGAGGATTTTATACTTGGCAGGGAAGTCGCAGTAGTATCAGTCAGGGCTGGGATATTTGCTGGATGTTTCTGTTTGGTTCAAATAGTCAAGCTTGCCACCTATACCCATGTTAGACAGGGAGTGGGGGGCATATTCTAAAGGACTGGCTTGCTGCTCTTACCTGATGCGGTAGGCTACCATCAGAAGGGAAAAGAGCCCATAACTTTAAAATAAAACTACCTCCTCCTCCATCTCAAAAAATAATAAAATAAAAAAACCCCTCAGCCCTGCAGCTAACCCTGATAAGTACCTTCATTCACAGAGCTTTATACTTAAACCACGATGCGGGAAGTGGATAAAAGCAGAGGGGCCCCTGTTAGAAATGTTTGGAAACATCCTGATGATATTTCTAGCCTCTGCTCATGCTTTATTTTATTTTATTTTTAATTTTTTTAAATGATATATAGTGTGATATCTTTATTTGTTTATTTCTGTGAATATTTGTTTTTCTTTTTTTTATTATTTTTATTTATTTATAAAAGCATTGGGTACAGTCAGAAGTGCGGGAGGGTGAGAGAATTCACCAGAGCGAGAGCGGGGGGGCAGAGCAGGCAGAAGGACCGAAGTACACTGCTGAGGGGAGCAGCGGGCGGCAGGAGAGGTCTGCGCGCCATGTGGGACCCTCCTCTGGTGGCCGGGGAGCAGCCGGGGATCGAACTGGCCCTACAGAGGCTGCAAGCAGCTTCGCAACCCAGCGCTCAACCGCTGTGCCACCAGGAAGGCCCTCATGCTTTATTTTAGAGCAGTGCATCAGGACAGACAGATTTTCTAGTGAACATTTAATCTCTGAAGGACTAAAGATGTGTGGGCTTTTATTCTGCAATGCTTCCAAGACTGTGTCCATTAAAATGAAAACAGGAAAGGAAGAAGCAAAGCCCACTTGATGATCAGATGGATTTAAATATTATTCAGGGTGCATAGCCTCATCCATGCTCTAGCTGTTTCTGTGGCTTGGGCTTTGGTCTTCCACTACTCGGCCACATCATCACTGAATGGATCATCTGGGTTGGGAGCATTTAAACTCAACTGTTGGTTCTGAACTGTGCTGTGGGGGCTGCCATTGGTTATTCTTCTGGAAGGAATAGTTGAAGTTCAAAATTTCTTCCCTGAAAGGCAAATCCTGGGGGCCAACATGACTATTCAAAAATAACAGGCTTTGTTTTCATTCTGGTTCTGCTTTAATGCTGGGAACTGGTTCTGCCAGCAAATGCTGGGTTTGATACTCACATGAGCAGCCTGGCCATCTTGTTAGATCCTGAGTTTGGCCTCTGGTCTCTGACTCCATTCACTTCACGCACAAGTTCTTTTGTTTCAGAGACCACATATAAATGAGAGCTTATCTTTTCAGTTTTACCTGTTTTCATGCCATCATCTCATTGTAGTTTTAATATACAGTTGTCTCAAGACTTATGATGTTAAGCATTTTTCCAAATCTTTATTGACTATCATTAACTTCCATTGTGCAGGAAGGAATTGTTTTAACTGTTCAAGTGTTGTGCCCATTTTAAAAATCAGTTTGTTTTGTTGTTGTTATTACTGGATTGGTATTTGCTATAATAAATCATCTGGAAACAGAGTCGCATTTAAAGTGACTTGATTTCTGACCAGAGTGTCAAAGTATTTCAAAACAAGGAATGTCTTTTCCACAAATTGATGGGAAACAACAGCACTCCAACCCAGCTGTTCTGAGGACAGACCCAAAGGTAGAAGTTGAAGGTATAAAATTCCTAGAAGTAAACAAGAGAATTTCTTCATGACCTTGAAGAAAGCAAAACAATTTTTAAGAAGACAAAGAAACAATAACCTTCATGTAGGAACTTTGGGGGCCTGACTTGACCAGTCCCTGGGTCTGCATGAGTAGGAAGACGAAAGATCTACCTACAAGTTCTTCACAAGGGACCCCAGCGGCCTGTTCGGAGACTTTGATTCATGCTGACCCCTCAATACCCCACACAAAAACTTACTGGAAAACCTGGTTTTACCAAGTCCCCCACAAAAAAGAAAGACATGACTCATCTTCCGGGCCCCTTTCTTCTTCGTTACTGTGGGTTCACACAATGACCAAGGTGTCCAGAGCATGTACACCCACTGAGAGGAGGAGGAGTAGTTTATGGCTATGAAAAGGGAAGCAGTTCTGCGGGAGAAACCTAGAAATAGAGGCAGTTTGGAGCAAGTGAGAACTTGGACTCTGGAGTCAAACAGGCTGGGTATAAAACCCTCGGCCTATCCTGCCCTAAGTGTGTCTCCTCAGGTAATTCATTGGGCCTCTCTGCCCCACCATGACCACCTGGGCTCTCCTGTTCCTTGCTGTGCTCCTGGACACCCCAGGTAAGGACAGTCCCCTTAGTGTAGATCCTGACAGCAATTCCCACATTTTCTTGGGCTCCTAAGCATAGGTCTGTGGGCACTCTAGGTCCCTGGGCCCTTCACCATCCTCATGGTGGCTGGGTCTTTCCCACAGAGCCAGAATCAACCCCAGTGAGCTGGTCAATGGTGAGAGACAGCACGAAGAAGGGAGTTCTAGTGCCAACTTGCTGGCCATGCTGTGTGGCCTGAGACTGCCCCCACACTCCCATTTCCTCTGTGGGTCTGTGTCTCTTTGTCTGTGTCAAAGATTGTTGGTCCTCATCAGTGGGTGTGACATTTTTTTCTGGACCATACTGACTAGGATTATGTCAGCAGGACTTGTGAACGAATATTGTCAAGACTCTTTGTTTCACATACCCTGTTCTGTTTCAGTCTGTGGGTTCAGTGTGAGCTACAAGGGCCTCGGGCGGCTATGAGGCCCTTGGGAGTGTGGAAGGGAGTATGGGTTGGGTTGGGCCCCTGACATGAATTCTTTTTGGAAAGAAAGAAAAAAGGAAATCTCTTGAAGAGAGATGAGAGAAGCTTTCTTTTAGATCAACCCCAAATCTGTGTATGTTTGTGTGAGCGTGTATATTTGTGTGTGAGAGAGACAAAACAGAAAGGGACAGAGAAGAGGTCTAGAAGTGGCAGAGGGTAGTCTTTTCCTTCTGGCTTTCCAGAATGAACTGCAGAGCATGCCTTTGTTGCTGAGGATGGGTTGAAGCAGCCCACAGCAGAGTGTGAGGAGAGGCTTCCTGGAGGACAGCCTCCGTGCTTTTGTCCTGGGTCCTAGTCACCCCTCTGCATCCCTGTCATCCAGGAGAACTAGACTGTTCTTTCCCTTCCACCTGTTGAGTGAGGCTGATGCTCTTCCTTCCCTAGGTCTTTCTTCCTCTGAGCACTATGACCAAGCACCAAGTGGCCCATGTAACGGAGAGCTGTCCTGCCAGGGCCTGATCCAGGAGGACCTCCAGGTACATGTGTGATTGGCTCCTGGTCACCTCCTGCAGCCCCTTCCTCGCCTCCGTGGGAAGTGTTCCTGGGTGGAGGGAGGTGACCTATGTATTGCTTGGTGCTCCCCAAGAGGGTCCTCCAGGTCTGACCAGACAGCAGAAGAGCGTCAAGTGCTGGATTGGAAAAGGTGTGGGTTTGAGGGCAAGTTCTGACGTCTCTCTGCCCTCCTAAGAGTATCAGGAAGGTGGACAAGGGCTGTCCAGCCTGGTTCAGGCCCTAGAATACAGAAGGAGCATAGTTGACACTGTCCGCCCTTGTTCCACCCTTACCACCTCTTCTTGGGCCCCTCAGAGACTCTTGGAGTGTCTGAGAGACCACCATGTGGGCTTCCTTTCCTGACAGGACGAGCTGCTGACCAAAAGTGAGGGGCTGCGCATCACCTGTTCAATCTGTAAAAAGATAATCCATAAATTGGAGACAATGGTGGGAGAGCAGCCAAATGAGGTAAAGTGGACTTGTGGTAAATGGAGCTGGCGGGGACTGGGTGGCCCCTAGCACCGCTGTCCTGGGGTGTTGCTGGGGGTGGGGATAATCTCAACTTGAGCCAGAACTTCTTAGGACGAGGTCTGAGCCCCTCGCATGGATGTGCTTCAGGGAATCCTGTGCACTGGTGATATACTGGGAGTGGGAAAGTGGGCAGATATGCACTGTGTGCCTGGTTTCTATCCTGTTCTCAAAGGAAACTTGCCCCAAGAAAAGGGACCTTTCCTGCTGCCCTAATGGTATAGCTTTGAGAGCCTGTTCCAGAGGGTTCTGGGCAACACTGATAAATCCCAGATCTGCCATTCCTGGCTGCGTGCCTGTGCAGGTGCTTATTCTCAATTTTCCTGTCTGCGGAATGGGATGCTAATAATCGCTAGCTTGTAAATGCCCTAAACCTTTTAAATAAGTCCAAGAGTGAAATGCCCTTAGCTCCACTTCTGACACTGAGAGCATATTTATTTATTTATTTTCCCCCTCCTATTTACTTTTTTTTTTATTTTTATATTCCCCATACAATTGCAACCTCCTTATTTTGACCCCAATCCCTCCTTTCCCCACCCCCACCACCCATAGAGTGTCTCTGGTTCATAGTTGTTTGTTGATTTTGATATTTTCTTTCTTATGGTTATTCTTTTTCCTGGTCCCTTATTTAAGTTTTCTAGATTCCTGCTATGAGTGAGACCATCCGGTATTTTTCTTTTTCTTTCTGGCTTATTTTGCTGAGCATGATCCCTTCCAGCGCCATCCATGTTGCTGCAAATTGCATGTTTTATCTTTTTTGAATGCTGAGTAATATTCCACTGAGTAATATTCCATGGTGTATATGTGCCACATCTTCTTGATCTAGTCATCTATTTTTGGGCATTTGTGTTGTTTCCAAAGTTTAGCTATTGTAAACAGTGCTGCTATAAACATAGGGGTGCAGGTGCTCTTTGGAATTGATGTTTCTGTGTCCTTTGGGTAAATACCTAGGAGTGGAATTGCTGGATCATATGGAAGCTGAAAGCATATTTAACCAGCATCATGTTAACCCCAAGGACCATTCCACCCTCCCTCTCTCTTCTTTGCTCCCCTAACCTGGCACTGCAGGGCTCTCCCTCAACTGAGAAAACTCAGATATATTGTCCACTGAGATGGCAGTAGAAGACACCTCAAAATCAAATCAGTCAAGGTCTGAGCTCTGACCCTCCTCACCTGTCCCTCAGGTGGAGCTCCCCTAGGTGAACCTCCAGGTGGAACCCCTCTTGGTAGACCCCCCATTCTGTCCTGGACCCAGGAAGCTATGTAGGCAGAGCCTTTAATGTGAGTCTGGCAGCCATAGGCATCATTCTGTAACCTAAAGATAGGGACAGGTGTGCAGGGGGCTGAGACCCTGGTTGGGCCAACTGTCCTTCTCTCAAGAGCCCCTGCTGGTCAGACTGGGGTTTTGGGGAGCAGGCACGGGGCCTGATCTTGTCTCTGCTTCCATGGCCAGTGGGCCACCCAGCACTCTTGTGGCCAGAGCTGCACAGACACAAAGGGTGGCAGAGATGGACGGGGCTGGCTGGATTCCCATGTCTGCCCTGACGTTGCTGTTGCAGGACACCATCGCGCAGGCTGCGTCCCGTGTATGCAGTTGGATGTCTTTATTGAAAAAGCCCTGCAGTTACATTGTGAACAAATTTCTCAGTCGTATCTCCCAGGACATCATGCAAGGCAAAAATGCCCGTGACATCTGTGTGGACCTAAAAATGTGCAAACCTCGCGCAGGTAAGTACAGAGATGACAGCAGGGACTCCTACCTCAGGGCACCAGCCTCCCCCAGCATGTGCACATGGCTGAAAAATACACCTGTCACAAGCAGGTCATATGTGTTCCTCCAAACTTCCTGGTGATGGTGCATCACTCCTCCTATTCCCAGCACAGAGAGTGTGGAGAAGTTGGGTAGGTGAGCTTGAGCTAGAAATCCTTGAAAAATACTCATTAAAAGTTGGGACTTCGGTGACAGGCAATCCTGGAATAAAATCTGGTCTTCATTTTGCCTCAACTGTGTGACCTTGGACAAGTCACTTAACCTTTATGAACTTCTGACTCCTTATCTTTGAGGGGGGCAATTGTACCATTTCTGAGTTTGGAATCAGAATTGAATGAGATCATATCAAACAGGCTTGTCATCAAAGAAATTGTTCTCAGATCGTGATATTCAGAAGACATCAGAGCCCAAATCAGACTCCAATCCCCCAGCCCAGCTGGGGTCCTTGGGGACAGGAGACAGGGCCACATTCTTTCCTGTGATCTCAGAGGCCAGCGAGCTGGGTTTGGCTATCCTGATGGGCAGAGAGGGCTCTCTGGGTCTATTCCTATTCCTTCAGGGCCACCCAGCCTTGCCTGGGGAAACAGGCCACACTGCAGGAGAAGGGGCTAAGAAAGGGCTCATGATTGGCTCTGGCAGCCCACCGAGCACTCACTCGTGCTTTGGGACTTGAAGCTGGCAGACCTGAGACCCCCAAGTAGTGTGAAGACCCTGACTTTTCCTTTATTGGAAACTGTGGCTTTTGCCTTCAGAGCCCCGTGACCTCACTGGCTCCTGACTGATTGCTAGGATGTGACTCTGGGTATGCTGAGCAGGGACTGGTAACTCTGACCCCTTGTTTCCCCTGAACACCCTCTGAACATGCCCACAACGTCCTCTTCTCTCCAATCCAGGTCCCATGTGAGCCTCCACCTTGGGGAAGACCATGGAAATTCCAGCAACCTCTGCCAGCTCCTTCCTTCCTAAAGCCAGATTCTACCCTCCAGTTCCTCTCACCTAACTCCCACTACTGACCTTGCCCTCTCAGGAGAATAAAATGTCATGCAGGCTTAGTCACAGTGTCTTTTCCTTTGGCAGAGTTGAGGGGAGGTGCTCAGAGCCACACTCAGTTGACTTGCCTTCATTCAACAAATATCCGCTGGGTGTCCCACACACTTTCTAGCTCCTTGGACCTAGTGATGAGCAACACAGACTCAGCAGCTTTCACACATTACAGTCATCCCCACTCCCACACCCCCATGGGAGGTTCTGCTTTCCAAGGATTTGCTTTTAGTTACTGGTGGTCCATGAGGGTAGAGAATATATACAGTAGTTGTTTTGAGAGAGGGCCCACACTAACGTACTTTTTATCATGACACATTGTTTTATTGTTGTTAATGTCTTACTGTGCCCATATTGGAAACTGAGCTTTATCATAGGTCTGCATGCATAGGAAAAAAACAAAACAAATCATGTCAAGCAGAGTATAATCCTCAGTTTTAGACACCACTGGGGTCTTGAAAGCTATCCCCTACGGATAAGGGAGGACTACCTAAGTCATGAGATACGTAATTGAGCACTCGCCGAACCCACACTTTAATCTAAGAGGCTGGGGTACAATGGGATATGCCCCCAGAAGCTCCCAGACCAGCTAGGGAGGACAGCTGATTAGAGTCATCTTTGTTATGAGCAATAAAAGCCCATCTTGGCCTACCCAAGGTAGACAACCTTCTTTTGGTCTTTTGGGGGAACATATTATCTAGGCTTTTTGGGGGGGTTGCAGGCTTATCCTGACATAAATAAAAAAGGTAATTTATTAACTCAAATGGTCCAGAACTGTACATTGTCACCAGAACTCTGGTCCTGCTTTCAGCTTCTCTTGGTTCTTCCCATCTCTGCCAAGGGAAACTGACCTCAGGCTGGCTTTTTTCTTGGCAGCTGAAATGACTGCACAGGCCTAACTTTACATCTTCACAGTATAACATCAGAAGGGACAGAGTTCTTTGTTAGTCTCTCCTCTAGTAGATTGCTTGGAAGAGAAAGGGATCTCCTTTCCCAGATGACCCAAAAGACATCCCCTCAATTCTTCTTGGCTTGTGTGAGTCGGGTGATCATCTTGAACCAATCACTATGCCCAGGAGGGTGGGGTCCATTCATTAGCATAAGTCCACTCAGGGTGTACCTCTGGGGCTGAAATGGGGTCACCCTGACCTGATCATTTGGTTAAGAATGGACATGAAAATTTGGGAAGAGACTGTTGCTGAAAGAGGGGAAAGTGGGTACAGGCAATGAGGAGCATTCAATCAAAAAAGAAAAACAGGGCTTCCCCTGGTGGCGCAGTGGTTTCATGCTGGGCTGCGAATCTGCCCGCAGCCTCTGCAGTGCCAGTTGATCCCCAGCCGCTGGAGAAGGTCCCACATGGCACGCAGACCTCTCCTGCCGTGCCCGCTGCTCCCCTCAGCAGTGTATTTCGTCAGTCTGTCTGTTCTTTTCCCTGCTCTGGCTCTGGTGAATTCTCTCACCCTCCCGCACTTCTGACTGTACCCAGTGCTTGTATAAATAAATACATAAATCTTAAAAAAAAAAAAGGAAAACTGTTAAAGGAGATCTCGATAGTGAAATCTAAGAATCATTAGCACAATATTGTATAGAAGTCACGAGAGCTACATCCTTGCTTCTAATTGTTCCTAATCTTTTGGGGGAATGCACTTAGTCTTTTATCAAAGGATGATATCAATTCTGTGCTTTTTATAGATACCCTTTATCAGGGGAGAATTTCCCTTCTATTCCTAGTTTATTGAGTGTTCTAGCATAAAAGGATGTTAAATTTTACTCAGTGATGTTTCTGCATCTATTGAAAAGATAGTTTTTATTTTGGTTCTACAGATTTGGTGAATTAGTGGATTTTCTGTTTTTTTTTTTTTTTTTGTTTTATTTTTAAGATTTATTTATTTACGCATACTGAGCTGGCCAGAGGTATGGGTGGTGAGGATTCACCAGAGACAGAGTGGGGATAGGAACAAGCAGTACAGAACAGGTACAGAACAGGCAGACTGACTGAAATACACTGCTGAGGGGAGCAGCTGGTGAGGCAGGAGAGGTCTGGTCCCCCATGTGGGTTGCTCCCTGGCTGGGGAGGGTGGGGGAGGATCGAACTTGTGCTGCATTGGCTGGCGATAGCTTGATAAAGTGCTGTCTTCAACCCCTGTGCCACCGGGGAGGCCCTTCTTTAGTTTTTTAACAAATATATTTATAGCTGCTACTTTAATGTCTTTGTTAAATCTGATATCTGGTTCCTTAACAGGCAGTTTCTATATCCTGGATTTTGTTTTGTTTTTTCCCCCTCTTCCTGTGTATGGTTTATTCTTTCTTAGTTCTTTGTATGTATTGTAGTTTTTTATTGGAAACTGGGCATTTTAGGTAACATATTATAGCAAATCTAGCTACTGGTCACTCCCAAACTTGCAACCGTTGTTTGCTTGTGTACTTGTTTAGTGGTTGGATTATTTTAGTCCCTCCACCTCCCACAGTGTGAAGTTGCTGATGTTGCATCTTCAAGGATACAACAGCTTTATCACTTGTGATGACTCTGTTTTTGGCAAGTCCCTCTTTGTCTATTCTGCTAACAACACCCATGTGTTAAGCTCATACATTTCTGGTTGAATTTTATTGTTTTCAACAATGTTCCAGGGCATGCATTGCTCAAGGGTGGGATCAAATAAAATTCAGGCCCCTCGGCAGGGATTAGACTTAAGGACAATGTTGACTTGTCCTGGTCCATGGAACCCCTTCCACAGTGCTTTCCCCATTTCTCTCTAGCAAACTAACTAACCTGCAGCTTAGCTGATAGAGCCAACAAAACTATCAATCTCTTTTTTAATTTAATTAATTAATTTATTTATTTTTAAATTTTATTTTTATATTCCCCATACAATTGCAACACCCTTATTTTGACCCCAATCCCTCATTTCCTTCCCCCTGCCCCATAGTGTGTCTCTGGTTCATAGTTGTTTGTTGATTTTGATTTTTACTTTCTTATAGTTATTCTTTTTCCTGGTCCCTTATTTAAGTTTTCTAGATTCCTGCTATGAGTGAGACCATCCAGTATTTTTCATTTTCTTTCTGGCTTATTTTGCTGAGCATGATCCCTGCCAGCTCCATCCATGTTGCTGCAAATTGCATGTGTTTATCTTTTTTGAATGCTCAGTAATATTCCATGGTGTATATGTACCACATCTTCTTGATCCAGTCATCTATTTTTGGGTATTTGGGTTGTTTCCAAAGCTTAGCTATTGTAAACAGTGCTGCTTTAAATGTAGGTGTGCAGGTGCTCTTTGGAATGGATGTTTCTGTGTCCTTTGGGTAAATACCTAGGAGTGGAATTGCTGGATCATATGGAAGCTCTATCTTTAGTAGGTTGAGGAATCTCCACACAGCTCTCCGTAGTGGTTGGACCAGTTTGCATTCCCACCAGCAGTGCAGGAGAGTTCCTTTTTCACCACATCCTCGCCAACATTTGTTGTTGCTAGTTTTTTTAATATGTGCCATTCTCACTGGTGTGAGATGGTATCTCTTTGTAATTTGATTTGCATTTCCCTGATTGCCAGTGATGTTGAACACTTTTTCATATGCCTGTTGGCCATTTGTATTTCCTCTTTGGAGAAGTTTGTTTTTAGCAATTCTGCCCATATTTTGACTGGATTATATTCTTTGTTTTTGTTGAGTCTCATCAGCTCTTTGTATATTTTTGTGATCAGTCCTTTATCATTAGTGTTGTGTGCAAATATTTTCTCCAAGTTGGTGGGGTTTCTCTATGTTTTGGTTATTGTGGCTTTTGCTGTGCAGAAGCTCTTTAATTTGATTTATTCCCAGCTGTTTATCTTTGCCTTCACTATCACTGCTTTGGGTGATGCTTTCTGTAAAGATGTCTTTGCGGTGCATGTCATGTAGTATTTTGCCTATATTTCCTTCTATATATTTTATGGTTTCAGGTCTTACATCTAGTTCTTTAATCCATTTTGAGTTGATTTTTGTGCATGGTGTGAAGTGGTAGTCAAGTTTCATTCTTTCGCATGTAGCAACCCAGTTTTCCCAGCACCATTTAGTGAACAAACTTTCTTTGCTCCAGTGCATATTCTTTGCTCCTTTGTCAAAGATTAGTTGACCATAAATCTGTGGGTTTATTTCTGGATTTTCTATTCGATTCCATTGGTCTGTGTGTCTGTTCCTGTTCCAATACCATGCAGTTTTGATGATTATGGCTTTGTAGTATAGTTTGAAGTCTGGGAGTGTGATGCCTCCATTCCCGTCTTTTTTTTTTTTTTTTTAGGAGGGTTTTGGCTATTCGGGGTTTTTGGTGGCTCCATACGAATTTCATAAATATTTTTTCTATTTCTTTGAAGAATGACATTGAAATTTTAATTGGAGTAGCACTGAATTTATAGATTGCTTTTGGTAGGATGGCCATTTTGAGAATGTTAATTCTTCCAATCCATGAGCAGGGTATATCTTTCCATTTCTTTGTGTCTACTTCTATTTCTTTTAACAGTGTTTTATAGTTTTTTTGTATAGGTCCTTTGCTTCTTTTGTTAGCTTTATTCCCAAGTATTTGATTTTTTTTATTTCAATAATGAGAGGAATGGTTTTCTTGATTTCTTCTTCTTCAGATTTATTGTTTGTGTGTTGATTTTGTATCCTGTCACTTTACTGAACTGATTGAGTAGTTTAATTAGTTTTTCTGTGGAGTTTTTGGGGTTCTCTATGTATATTGTCATATCTTCCACAAATAGTGATTGACTTCTTCCTTGACTATTTGGATTCCTTGTATGTCTTCCTCTTGTCTTACTGCTCTGGCTACGACTTCCAGTATTATGTTGAAAAGCAGTGATGAGAGTAGACATCCTTGTATTGTTCCAGATCTTAATGGGAATGCTTTTAGCTTTTCACCATTGAGAATGATATTGGCTGTGGGCTTGTCATATATGGCCTTTATGATGTTGAGGTATGTTCCTCGTATCCTGAGAATTTCAAGGGCCTTTATCATAAATGGGTATTGTACTTTGTC